CAGGAAAGTTGCAGGTTCCTGCTGATTGGAGAGCTCTGGATTGGACTCAATAGAAGGCATGTTAGACCTCCGCTGAAGGCATTGTTGTATTGACACCAGGGTGCAATTGTGCCGTTGTTCAAGGAGATCCCTCATAATGATATTTTAAGTATATAAAAAGAACTATTAAAACATAAAACAGCGCAAATAAAATACAATAAATAATAAACAAAGAAAACAATAAAAAAAAACTTATAATACATATAAATTTTAAACAAAATATTATTTTATATAAATTAAATAGAATAGTCCCTATTATATATTCTATTTAATTTATATAAAATAACATTTTTTAATTTATATGTATTATAAGTTTTTTTTTTAATTTTCTTTGTTATTGATTGTATTTTATTTGCGCTGTTTTATGTTTTGCTAGTTCTTTCTATATACTTAAAATATCATTATAAGGGATCTCCTTGAACAACGGCACAAGAACTATTAAAATAGAAAGAACTATTAAAACATAAAACAGCGCAAAAAAAAATACAATAAATAATAAACAAAGAAAATAAATCCAACAAAAATGTATAATTATATAAATTTAAAAAAATATTATTTTATATAAATTAAATAGAATGTATAATAGGGACTATTCTGTTTAATTTATATAAAATAATATTTTTTAATTTATATGTATTATAAGTTTTTTTTGGATTATTTTCATTGTTTATTATTATTTTATTTGTGCTGTTTTATGTTTTAAAAGTTCTTTCTATATACTTAAAATATCATTATAAGGGATCTCCTTGAACAACGGCACAAGAGCTATTAAAATAGAAAGAACTATTAAAACATAAAACAGCGCAAATAAAATACAATAAATAATAAACAAAGAAAATAATCCAAAAAAACTTATAATACATATACATTTAAAAAATATTATTTTATATAAATTAAATAGAATAGAATATAATAATAGGGACTATTCTATTTATTTTATATAAAATAATATTGCTGCTGATTGGAGGATTCATCTCTGCCTCCCCTGGTCTCAGAATTCAGCAGACTCCAGCAACTCACTCCACTCCTCCTCTGGTCCTCCTCCAGACCCCGCACTTTCTGCTTCCCAGCTCCACCCCTAGTTTCTTTCCAACAGCAGAGAGGAGGACAAAACTTTTCCTACAGATCCTGTTCCTCTCTGTACAGCCACAGCACCACCTCATCTCTGCCTCCCCTGGTCTCATAATTCAGCAGACTCCAGCAACTCACTCTAGTCCTCCTCTGGTCTTGCTCCAGACCCCGCACTTTCTTTTTCCCAGCTCAACCCCTGCTTCTTCCCGAAAACAGAGAGGAGGACAGAACTCTTCCTTCAGATCCTGCGCCTCTCTGTACAGCCACAGCACCCACTCATCTCTGCCTTTCCTGGTCTCAGAATTTAGCAGACTCCAGCAGCTGACTCAGTCCTCCTCCTCTGGTCATCCTCCAGACCCGCACTTTCTGCTTCCCAGCTCCACCCCCAGCTTCTTCACGATGGCAAAGAGGAGGACAGAACTCTTCCTACAGATCTTCTTCCTCTCTGTACAGCCGCAGCATCCCTTCACCTCTGCCTCTCCTGGTCTCAGAGTCCAGCAGACTCCAGCAGCTGACTTCACTCCTCCTCTGGTCCTCCTCCAGACCCCGCACTTTCTGCTTCCCAGCTCCACCCCTAGTTTTTCTTTCCGACAGCAGAGAGGAGGACAGAACTCTTCCTACATAATCCTGTGCCTCTCTGTACGGCCACAGCACCACCTCATCTCCACCTCCCCTGGTCTCAGAATCTAGCAGACTCCAGCAGCTGACTCCAGTTCTCCTCTGGTCCTCCTCCAGACCCTGCACTTTCTGCTTCCCAGCTCTGCCCCTAGCTTGTTTCCAACAGCAGAGAGGAGGACAAAACTTTTCCTACAGATCCTGTGCCTCTCTGTACAGCCCAAAAATCTAGTCTTACAGATACAACCGCCCTTTGAGGGCAACCATAATGCTGCTGCAGCCTGCAATGAAATTGAGTTTGACACCCTTGGTCTAGGGGATCGGAGAAGGTAGAAACACTTACCTGATCCTCCCGGCACAAGACCAGACACTGATTGGGATTTTTCTTTTTATCAAAGACAGGTCGCAGAATACATTTTGGCCAACATTTATAAAGAAATTGGAATTTTTTTATTTTTTTATTGAATTTGTTTTAGAGCAGAAAGCAAAAAATATTATATAATTATATTTTGTTTTCAACATTTTCTGTCTTTTTTCATTTATATCACAAAGATAAAAAAAAACCCCCAAGTGGTGATCAAAGACCACCAAAAAAAAGATCTGTGTGAAAAAAAAATGATTTAAATTTAGTTTGGGTACAGCGTTGCATTAAGGTAGCGCAATGCTGAATAGCATTGAATATACACTTGGGTTTTTTTTTTAATCAAAGACGTGTCGCGCAGATTACATTTTGACCAACATTTATAAGGAAATTTGAATTTTTGCATTTTTTTATTGAATATGTTTTATATCAGAAAGTAAAAAAATATTATATAATTATATATTTTTTCAAAATTCTCAGTCTTTTTTCATTTATATCACGAAGCTAAAAAACCCCAAATACCACCGAAAAAAAGCTCTGTGTGAAAAAAAAATGATTTAAATTTAGTTTGGGTACAGCAATGCATTAAGGTAGCGCAATGCTGAATAGCATTGAATATACACTTGAATTTTTTTTTTTGTATCAAAGACATGTCGCAGAATACATTTTGGCCAACATTTATAAGGAAATTTGAATTTTTGAATTTTTTTATTGAATATGTTTTATAGCAGAAAGTAAAAAATATTATATAATTATATATATTTTCAAAATTCTCGGTCTTTTTTCATTTATATCACAAAGATAAAAAACCCCAAATACCACCGAAAAAAAGCTCTATCTGTGAAAAAAAATGATTTAAATTTTGTTTGGGTACAGCGCTGCATTAAGGTAGCGCAATGCTGAATAGCATTCAATATACACTTACTGGAATTTTTTTTTTATTTTTTTGCATCAAAGATATGTCGCAGAATACATTTTGGCCAATATTTGTAAAGAAATTTGAATTTTTTAATTTTTTTTATTGCATATGTTTTATAGCAGAAAGTAAAAAATATTATATATTATATATATATATATATATTTTTTTTTTTTAAATTTTCGGTCTTTTTTTATTTATATCACAAAGCTAAAAAACCCAAAGTGGTGATCAAAGACCACCAAAAAGAAAGCTCTAGCTGTGTCAAAATAAAAAAACATTTAAATTTCATTTGGGTACAGCGCTCCATTAAAGTAGCGCAATGCTAAATAGCATTCAGTATACACTTACTGGAATTTTTTTTTATTTTTTTTGTATCAAAGATATGTCGCAGAATACATTTTGGCCAATATTTATAGGGAAATTTATTTTTTTATTTTTTTTATTGCATATGTTTTTTATAGCAGGAAGTCGAAAATATTATATAATTATATATTTCTTTCAAAATTCTCAGACTTTTTTCATTTTTATCACAAAGATTAAAAAAAAAAAACCAAGTGGTGATCAAAGACCACCAAAAAGAAAGCTTTATCTGTGTGAAAAAAAAAATGATTAAAACTTCGTTTGGGCACGGCGTGGCATTAAAGTAGCACAATGCTGAACAGCATTGATTATACACGTATTGGGATTTTTTTTTTTATCAAAGACATGTTGCAGAATACATTTTGATCAACATTTATAATAAAATTTGAATTTTTTAATTTTTTTTTTATTGAATATGTTTTATAGCAGAAAGTAAAAAATATTATATAATTATATATTTTTTTTCAAAATCCTCGTCTTTATTCATTTATATCACGAAGATTTAAAAAAACCCAAAGTGGTGATCAAAGGCTACCAAAAGAAAGCTCTATCTATGTCAAAAAAAAAAATTATGTAAATGTCGTTTGGGCATGGAGTGGCATTAAAGTAGCGCAATGCTGAATAGCATTCAACATACACGTATTGGAATATTTTTTTTATCAAAGACAGGTCGCAGAATACATTTTGACCAACATTTATAAAGAAATTTAATTTTTTTTTAATTGAATATGTATTAAAGCAGAAAGTCGAAAATACTATATAATTATATATATTTTTTCAAAATTCTCAGTCTTTATTCATTTATATCACAAAGATAAAAAACCCCCAAGTGGTGATCAAATACCACCGAAAAAAATCTCTAGCTGTGAAAAAAAAATGATTTAAATTTTGTTTGGGTACAGCGTTGCATTAAGGTAGCGCAATGCTGAATAGCATTCAATATACACTTACTGGAATTTTTTTTTTATCAAAGGCATGTCGCAGAATACATTTTGGCCAACATTTATAAAGAAATTTGAATTTTTTAATTTTTTTTATTGAATATGTTTTATAGCAGAAAGTCAAAAATATTATATAATTATATTTTTTTTTTTTTCAAAATTCTCGGTCTTTTTTCATTTATAAACTAAAAAACCCCAAGTGGTGATCAAACACCACCAAAAAGAAAGCTTTATCTTTGTGAAAAAAAAAAAATGATTAAAATTTAGTTTGGGTACGGCATCGCATTAAAGTAGCGCAATGCCGAATAGCAAAAAAATGGCCTGGTCATGAAGGGGGTGGGGGGGGGGGGGGGTAAAATCTTCCGGAGCTCAAGTGGATAAAGAGGAAACAATGGATGGTACGCATACATTGACACCAACGCAGGAATTAAAGCAACTTGATTTTTTATTTGTACTTATAAAATGAAACGATTTCTTCAATCTTCCCAGATTCTCCTAATCCAAATTTCGGGCGATTATCTCACAGTTCCACGTTGTACACCACAGATTATCTTGCATACGATGGTTGACATCCAACGTAGTTCTTGGAAAAATAGTTTGTTTTATCAAGGATGCATATGCAGCTTAACAATTACTATTGTTCCCTCAAAGATAAGTAATTGCTTCCCTCCTCCATTGGCAGAAACAGAAACCTTCCAATGACTCACACTTCATACGTATCCGGCCAAGAACACCTCCGGCCATATTTGGATGGAGCCGACGTATCCGACTGCATTCACTATATCCGCTCTCCCCGGACCATGCATTCACTATATCCGCTCTCCCCAGACCCTGCATTCACTATATCCGCTCTCCCCAGACCCTGCATTCACTATATCCCGCTCTCCCCGGACCCCGCATTCACTATATCCGCTCTCCCCGGACCCTGCATCCACTATATCCCGGTCTCCCCGGACCCTGCATTCACTATATCCGCTCTCCCCGGACCCTGCATTCACTATATCCGCTCTCCCCGGACCCTGCATTCACTATATCTGCTCTCCCCGAACCCCGCATTCACTATATCCGCTCTCCCCGGACCCTGCATTCACTATACGCTCTCCCCCCGCTCTCCCCGGACCCCGCATTCACTATATCCGCTCTCCCCGGACCCTGCATTCACTATATCCGCTCTCACCCGGACCCCCGCATTCACTATATCTGCTCTCCCCGGACCCTGCATTCACTATATCCGCTCTCCCCGGACCCTGCATTCACTATATCCGCTCTCCCCGGACCCCATTTGCATTCACTATATCCAGACTCCTCGGACCCGCATTCACTATATCTGCTCTCCCCGGACCCTGCATTCACTATATCCGCTCTCCCCGGACCCGCATTCACTATATCTGCTCTCCCCGGACCCTGCATTCACTATATCTGCTCTCCCCGGACCCCGCATTCACTATATCCGCTCTCCCCGGACCCTGCATTCACTATATCCGCTCTCCCCGGACCCCGCATTCACACTATCCGCTCTCCCCGGACCCTTCATTCACTATATCCGCTCTCCCTGGACCCCGCACTCACTCGCTATATCTGCTCTCCCCGGACCCCGCATTCACTATATCCCTCTTTCCCCGGACCCCGCATTCACTATATCTGCTCTCCCTGGACCCCGCATTTACTATATCCGCTCTCCCCGGACCCCGCATTCACTATATCCGCTCTCCCCGGACCCTGCATTCACTATATCCAGTTTTTCCCGGACTCTGCATTCACTATATCTGCTCTCCCCGAACACCGCATTCACTATATCCGCTCTCCCCGGACTCCGCATTCACTATATCCGCTGTCCTCGGACCCCGCATTCACTATATCCGCTCTCCTCGGACCCCGCATTCACTATATCCGCTGTCCTCGGACCCCGCATTCACTATATCCGCTCTCCCCGGACCCCGCATTCACTATATCTGCTCTCCCCGGACCCTAGAGTAGAAAAGAAAAAATAGAATAGAATAGAAAAAATAGAGTAGATTATAGTAAAATGGAACAGAATAGTAAAAAGTAGAATACAATATAAAAGAATAGAATAAAGCAGAAAAGAAAGGAATAGAAAATAAAAGAACAGAACACAAAAGAAAAGAGATGAAATAGAATAGAATAGAATAGAATAGAAAATAAAAGAACAGATTAGAATAGAATAGAATAAACATAGATGTTTTCTGAAATTCAAATTTTGAAATTTGAATTTTAAATTTTGAATTGATTTTTGAAAATAATGAATATACAAAATGAATTCCAAAACCAAATCTTTCTAACCTAGCGAACACGACGAAATGAATGATTAACTGAACAAATGAATCAAAAATGAAAAGAAGCTATTTTTTTCTGTCGTGCACATCTCTGGTACCTGGAAGATTTCTCACTACCCTTTTGCCATGCACCAGCTGAATGATGAAATCAGGCTTACGGGGGGGGGGTCTGCTCTGGAAGCTGATAGGATGGAGGTGGGTATATTGCTCGGTTTACAGGGACAAGGGTGTCACCGATCTGGTGATATTCAAAAGATAGGAAAGGCGGGAGGTGACAAGATGGAGATGTTATCCACCCCTCCCTCTCCACCTCTTCCAATTAGAGAACATCTTGTATTCGCTCTATGAATGATGGTGTTGAGTGAGCGACCCCATGTGTGCAGTGTGCAGAGAGGAAGCCGCTTCAGCAGAAAATCACAGCTATCACTATATATAGCACTGACTACTGCAGCAGACTGACCTCTCCAGGAAACATTTACATTGAGCCAAGCTGGAGCAGTGTGAGCTTGTCAAAAATCCATCAATCCGGAGTTTCACTTTAGAGAGTCAGGGTCGCTTCACACCAAAGAGACGCCGTTCAGATGCGTTCCGGATGTGCGTTTTTGATGCTTTCCACTTCATTTTCCCCCCTCTCTTTTTCTTCAATTTAACCTCTTCCAGTCCAGACACTTTCCCACTTCCAATCCGGACACTTTCCCCCCATTCCAGTCCGGACGCTTTCCCCCCTTCCAGTCAGGACACTTTCCCCCCCTTCCAGTCCGGACACTTTCCCCCCTTTCCAATCCGGACACTTTCCCCACTTTCCAGTCAGGACACTTTCCGTTCCCCCCTTCCAGTCAGGACACTTTCCCCCCTTCCAGTCAGGACACTTTCCCCCCCTTCCAGTCCGGACACTTTCACCCCCTTCCAGTTCGGACACTTTCACCCCTTTCCAGTCCGGACACTTTCCCCCCTTCCAGTCCGGACACTTTCCCCCCTTCCAGTCCGGACACTTTCCTCCCTTCCAGTCCGGACACTTTCCCCCCCTTCCAGTCCGGACACTTTCCCCCCTTCCAGTCCGGACACTTTCCCCCCTTCCAGTCAGGACACTTTCCCCCCTTCCAGTCCGGACACTTTCACCCCCCTTCCAATCCGGACACTTTCCCCCCCTTTCAGTCAGGACACTTCCCCCCCTTCCAGTCTGGACACTTTCCCCCCCTTTCCAGTCCGGACACTTTCCCCCCCTTCCAGTCCGGACACTTTCCCCCCCCCTTCCAGTCCGGACACTTTCACCCCCTTCCAGTCAGGACACTTTCCCCCCCTTCCAGTCCGGACAATTTCCCCCCCTTCCAATCCGGACACTTTCAACCCCCTTCCAGTCAGGACACTTTCACCCCCTTCCAGTCTGGACACTTTCCCCCCCTTCCAGTCCTGGACACTTTCACCCCTTCCAGTCCGGACACTTTCCCCCCTTCCAGTCCGGACACTTTCCCCCCTTCCAGTCCAGGGACACTTTCCCCCCCTTCCAGTCCGGACACTTTCACCCCCTTCCAGTCCGGACACTTTCCCCCTTTCCAGTCCGGACACTTTCCCCCCCTTCCAGTCAGGACACTTTCCCCCCCTTCCAGTCCGGACACTTTCCCCCCCCCCCCCTTCCAATCCGGACACTTTCCCCCCCTTCCAGTCAGGACACTTTCCCCCTTCCAGTCCGGACACTTTCCCCCCCTTCCAATCCGGACACTTTCCCCCCTTCCAGTCAGGACACTTTCACCCCCTTCCAGTCTGGACACTTTCCCCCTTTCCAGTCCGGCCACTTTCACCCCTTTCCAGTCCGGACACTTTCCCCCCGGACCCCCTTCCAGTCCGGACACTTTCCCCCTTCCAGTCCGGACACTTTCCCCCCTTCCAGTCCGGACACTTTCCCCCCTTCCAGTCAGGACACTTTCCCCCCTTTCCAGTCCGGACACTTTCCTCCCCTTCCAGTCCGGACACTTTCCCCCCCTTCCAGTCCGGACACTTTCCCCCCTCCTTCCAGTCTGGACACTTTTTCCCCCCTTCCAGTCCGGACACTTTCACCCCACTTCAGTCTGGACACTTTTCCCCCCTTCCAGTCCAGATGCTTTCACCCCCCTTCCAGTCCGGAGGCGTTCACACCCCTTCCAGTCCGGACACTTTCCCCCCCTTCCAGTCAAACGCTTTCCACCCCCTTCACCCCTTCCCCTTCCGGACACTTTCACCCCCTTCCTCTCCAGACACTTTCACCCCCTTCCAGTCTGGACACTTTCACCCCCTTCCAGTCCGGACACTTTCACCCCACTTCAGTCTGGACACTTTCACCCCCTTCCAGTCCAGATGCTTTCACCCCCTTCCAGTCCGGACACTTTCTTCCCCCTTTCAGTCCGGACACTTTCCCCCCTTCCAGTCCGGACACTTTCCCCCCCTTCCAGTCCAAACACTTTCACCCCCTTCCAGTCCGGGACACTTTCCCCCTTCCAGTCCGGACACTTTCCCCCCTTCCAGTCCGGACACTTTCACCCCCTTCCAGTCCAGTCGGACACTTTCACCCCCTTCCAGTCTCTGGACACTTTCCCCCCTTCCAGTCCAGACGCTTTCACCCCCTTCCAGTCCGGACACTTTCCCCCCCTTCCAAGTCAGGACACGCTTTCACCCCCTTCCAGTCCGGACACTTTCACCCCTTCAGTCCGGACACTTTCCCCCCTTTCCACCCCCTTCCATTCCAGATGCTTTCACCCCCCTTCCAGTCCGAAACACTTTCACCCCCCTTCCAGTCCGGACACTTTCCCCCCTTAGCCAGTCCTGGACACTTTCACCCCCTTCCAGTCCGGACACTTTCACCCCCTTCCAGTCCGGACACTTTCACCCCCTTCCAGTCCGGACACTTTCCCCCCTTCCCAGTCCAGACACTTTCACCCCCTTCCAGTCCGGACACTTTCCCCCCTTTCCAGTCCGGACACTTCCCCCCTTCCAGTTCACCACCTTTCCAGTCCGGACCCTTTCCTTCCAGTCCCCCCTTCCCCTTCCTTCCAGTCGGACACTTTCACCCCCTTCCCCCCCGGACACTTTCAGTCGGCCCCCCATTCCAGTCCAGACACTTTCCCTTTTCCAGTCCGGACACTTTCACCCCTTTCCAGTCCGGACACTTTCCCCCCATTCCAGTCCGGACACTTTCCCCCCTTCCAGTCCGGACACTTTCACCCCCTTCCAGTCCGGACACTTTCACCCCTTCCAGTCCGGACACTTTCACCCCCTTCCTGTCTGGACACTTTCACCCCCTTGCAGTCCGGACACTTTCACCCCCTTCCAGTCCAGACACTTTCACCCCCCTTCCAGTCCGGACGCTTTCACCCCCTTCAAGTCCAGACACTTTCACCCCCTTCCAGTCCGGACACTTGCACCCCCTTCCAGTCCGGACACTTGCACCCCCTTCCAGTCCGGACACTTTCACCCCCTTCCAGTCCGGACACTTTCACCCCCTTCCAGTCCAGACACTTTCACCCCCTTCCAGGGTCCGGACGCTTTCACCCCCTTCCAATCGGACGCTTTCACCCCCTTCCAGTCCGGACACTTTCACCCCCTTCCAGTCCGGACACTTTCACCCCCTTCCAGTCCGGGACACTTTCACCCCCTTCCAGTCCGGACACTTTCACCCCCTTCCAGTCTGGACACTTTCCCCCCCTTCCAGTCCGGACACTTTCCCCCCTTCCAGTCCGGACACTTTCCCCCCTTCCAGTCCGGACACTTTCCCCCCCTTCCAGTCCGGACACTCACCCCCCTTCCTGCTCAGGCCAATGTTCAGCTTTCAGCGTTATCACACTTTGAATGACAATTGCGCGGTCATACAACACTGTACCCATATGAATTTTTTAGCATTTTTTTTTAGACAGATAAATCTTTATTTTGGTGGTATTTATTCACCGCTGGGATTTATTTTTTTTTTTTTTGCTATATAAATGAAAAAGTCCAAAAATTTTGAAAAAAAGTGTTTTCCTTATAAAAGTTTAAAATAAATAATATTTCATCATAAATCTTGGCCAAAATTTATTGTTATCTTTTTAGTAAAAAAAAAAAAATTAGTTTACAACCAAAAATTATAATAAAAAAATTTTTTTTTACATTTTTATTTTTCATTTTTTTTATATTATTATTTGTTTTGTTTTTTTTTCTTCATACTGTCACCCTAGCAGTACATTGTCACCATGGTGACACTGTACTACTTGTGGGGGATGATGAAGATTTGTTTTTGTTTTTTTACACTGATTGCTTTTATACCCATAAAGGCTGTACAAGCAATAATTTCTCCTTCTCTCTGTCTGCATTCTTGCAGCCATTGAGAAATACTGTGTGAGCTGTGATTGGTCACATCTTGTCACATGGTACAAGGCTGTTGTGAATAGCCCTGTACCATGTGACCTCGGTGATCATTCACAGATTTCACACGTAGTAAGCAATGATGTCAGAAGTGACATCTTGCTTACTACTCTGCATGTGATCACTGATTGGCCAATCAGGGATCACATGATCGGGACCTCACACAGAGGTCCCGCACAACGATCGGTGTTCCACTGTGTCCTAAGGACACAGCGGGCACCAGATCGCGGTGCTGCACGCTCCGAGGGAGCGCGTACAAGCAGGGGGCGGGGAGGCCGTTTATAAATGGACCACCTGCTCGTGCACTGCCACCGTCTGACCGTTTATATACAACGATCGGAAGGGAGGTGGTTAAATAGGGACATTTTTGTGGGTGTTTTTGTGTGTTCCGGTGCATTTTTGATGCGTTTTACCTCGTTCCACTGCAGTTCTGTGCAGAAAAAATGCAGTATGTTCTACTTTTTTTCTGCAACCGGAACGCACTGGAACTGCAAGCACTGATGTGAACTATGACATTGACCATCATATCACCTACTTTCTGTGTGTTTTTGATGCAGAAAAATGCATGGAGTGTGAACTGGCCCTAACCTAAGCGTTTTCTGCAGCGTTTTGCAGAAATGCAGTACAGTCCATTTAACATGATTTCCTACGGGACACGTTCACATCTGAGCGTTTTCACCCGGTGCGTTTTTTGGAAAGGGGTCAGGGACTTTTTTGTGAACGCAAAAAGTTGCGTTTTTGGTTCTGTAGACGTTAATGGAAATGCTGCAGAAAAGCATGTATTACATTTTTGCTGTGTGTTTGACACGTTTTTCCTGCACTTTTGATGAATTTTTTTATGCGTTTTGCATTTTAAATCTGCCTAGCAAAATGAAAAATGAAAAAAAAAAAACACATCACAAACACAGCAAGTGCAAAAATGCAACACAAAACGCAATGCAGAAACTCAGTGCTGTCCCGAGGCAGGTGCAGGGGGTGGGCGCCGCCCCGGGTGACACCAACCGCATGGGGTGACACCGACCGCATGGGGTGACACTGGACCCGCTCCACAGAAAGGAAAGTTGTAAAGGAAGCCGACGATCTCGCAGGATGGATTGGATCCATCCTGCGGGGATCACCGGCTTTCTTTACAACTTACCTTTTCGTGGAGCGGGTCCGGTGTCACCCCTTATAGGTTGCATGCTGATGATCCCCGCAGAATGGGTCGGATCTGCAGATTGGGGAGCATAATGGATTGGAGTCCAATACATTATGCTCTATCCGCAGATCCGATCTATCCTGCAGGGATCGTTGGAGGGGTGACACCAAGTGTTACTGCATCGGGTGACACCAACCCTAGGGACCCCCTGCAGAAACGGCTCAAACGCAACCTGTATAGGTGTGAACCGAGCCTTATGATGTGGAGATGGGAGAGCGGGTTGGGTTGAGTAGTTTAGCAAATGGCAATGGGCGGGGCTGACACCATTTAGTATATGAGAATGCTGTGTGTTGTCAGCCCACAACAGGACTGAATGCAGTTCTAGCAGATCAATGGGGCTTTTTCTGTACTAGCACAGCCTTGGAAGAGATGAAACATGGGGACTGAGCTGCACTGCACAGATATATTTGTATCTGATCCCCGAGAAACACTTCAATGTTCTCTGATGGTGCTTACATCAATCATCCGGTTATGCATCCTGCATCAGTTAAGTGAACAGTTTTCTTCCAACTCTAAAAAATGAAAAAAAGGAGAAAGAAGAGAGAGCAAAGAGAGAGAGAGGGGATGGAGGAGGAGAGGGAGGAAAGGAGAGAGAGGAAAGGAGAGAGAGAGAAGAGAGAGAGAGAGAAAGAGAGGTGGGTGGAGGAGAGAGAGAGGAAAGGGGAGAGAAGAAGAAGAGAGGGAGAGGAAAGAAGAGAGAGGGAGAGAAGAGGGGGAGGGTAGAAGTAAAGAAGAGAGAGGGAAAGAAAGAGAGGAGGGGGGGGAGAAAAAAGAGAGGGAGAAGAGGGGGGAGAGGAAAGGAGAAAGAGGTGGGAGGAGGAGAGAGAAAGGAGAGAGAAGGAGAGAGGGAAGAAAGGTTGGAAGAGGGAGAGGAGGGAAGGTGAGTGTGAGAGAGAGAGAGAGGGGGGGAGAGGGAAGAAGAAAGAAGAGAAAGAGAAGGGAGGAGAAAGAGAGAGGAGAAGAGAGAGGGGGAGATGGGTGGTGAGAGGGAGAGAGAGGGGGGAAAGAGAAGGGGAAGAGGAGAGAAGAGAGAGAGAGAAGAGAGAGGGGAGAGAGAGAGAGGAAAGGAGAAAGAGTAGGAAAAAAAGGAGAGAAAAGAGAGAAAAGAGAGAGAGGGAGAAAGGTGGAAGAGGGAAGAGAGAGAAGAGGGAAGGGGGGAGTGAGAGAGAGAGAGGGGGGGGGGGGGTAAAAAAAAAGAAAAAAAAGAGAAGGGAAAGAGAGAAGAGGGAGGAAAGTGGGAGATGGGTGGGTGAGAGGGAGAGAGAGAGGAAAGAGAAGGGAAGAGGAGAGAAAGGGAGAGAGAGAGAATGGGAAATAGAGAGGTGGAATGGAGGAGAGGAAGAGGAAAGGAGAGAGAAGAGTAAAAAGAGAGAGAGAGAGGAATAGAGAAAAAAGAAGAGGGTGGGAGAGGTAAAAAAAAAGGGGGGAAGAGAGGGGAGATAGGGGAGAGATGAGTGGGAAAGAGGAAAGAAAGAAAGGAAAAAAAGTGAAAAAAAAAGAGAGAAAAGGAGAGATGGGGAAAAAGAGAGAGGGAAGAGAGAAAAAGGAAGAGGAAGAGAAGGAAGAGAAGAAGAGAGAGAGAGAGAGGAAAGAGGGGAAGATGAGGGGGAAGGAAAGATGAGAGAGGGCAATAAAAGAAGGAGAGAAGGGTGGAAAAAAAAGGAGAAGAGGAAAAGAAGAGAGGGAGAAATAAAGGTGAGAGAAGGGGGGAGCAAGAAAGGAAGAGAGGGAGGAGAGAGGTGAGAGTGGAAAGAGAGGCGGGAAAGGAAGAAAGGAAAAAAGGGGGAGAAGAAGAGAAGGGAAAAAGAAGAAAGAAAAGAAAAGGGGGGAAGGAAGAAGGGGGGAAGGGGAAAAGGGAAAGGAGAAGAAGAGGGAGAAGAAAAAAGAAGAAAAAAAGTAGAGGAGAGGGAAAAGAATGGAAGGAAAAATGAAAAGAGAAAAAAAAGGAAGGAAGGAAAGGGAGAGAAAAAGAGAGAGATAAGTAAAAAGGAAGGAAAGAGAGGGAAAAGGAAGAGAAAGATAAAGAAAGAAAAAAATAAAGAAAAAAATAAATTAAGAGAAAAGAATAAAAAGAGATAGGAAAAAAAAAAGAAAGAAAAACAGAAAAGAGAAAAGGAGAGAGATGAGAAAGAAGAAAAAAAAGCAGAGAAAAAAAGGAGAAGAAGAAAGAAAAAAAAATAAATGGGATAAAAAAAAAAGAAAAAAAGAAAAAAAAAAAGAGGAGGGGGGTAGAAAAAAGGGTGTGGGGGGTGTGGGGGGGGGGGGGGGGGGGGGGGGGGGGGGGGAATGGAAAGGGAGAGAAAAAAAGAAAAAATGAGGGGGTGTAAAAAGGCAAAAAGATAGAAAAAATAAAAGGGTAAAAAAAAAGAAAAAAAAAAAGAAAAAAGAGGGAAAGTTTAAAAAAAAAAAAAAGGGATGGATAAAAGAAATAGGTAAAAAAAAAAAAAAAAAAAAAAAAAGTAAAAAAAAAAAAAAATAAAAGAAAGAAAAAATAAAAAAGATGGGGGGGGAGGGAAAAAAAAAGAAAAAAAAAAAAAAATAAAAAAGGAAATCAGGTGTTCAAAAAAAAAAAAAAAAAAGACAAACTGAAAAAAAAAATGAGTTCTCTGGATACATGAAATTAAAAAAAAATTAAAAATGGAGAATGAAAAAAAGGCCAAAAAAATCCTAAAAAAAAAAAAAAAAAGAGTGTAAAAAAAAAAGGAGAATTGTTAAAAAAAAAAA